ATGTGAAGTTATTTAATGTACATGTATTATCAGTTGTAGTCAGTAATGAGATATTTAGCTTTTATCAATTCCTAATATATTATCTTTAATTCCTCCAATAGAACAGATTGCTTTACAGATGGTGCAAGCATTCGTTGAGTTTTAAATAATACACACAGGAATAGGTCGATTCACAGATGGTGTAATTCATTACAGAGTATAATATGAGGCGGGCTTATGTGCGTCACAGACGTCCAAGTCGCCTGTTTGTGTCCCATTGCAATTGGTGTGCCAGGATCCTGTATCCGTTTGAGTTTGTTAGTAAAACATGCAAGATAAAGGTTTTCGCCATAATGGATTAACACCTATATAATTCCCCCCCAACAATCAAACACTCATTAACGTTTGTCAACACCAACTCATTCAGTCACAATACCTTGTTGAAGCTTTCCTTAGACACATCTATACCTGATTCACTTTCCCCATCTATTTCCATATCGTCCTTACGCCCTTCCAACTCACACACTGTGATCAACGGACATGTAAGCACTGAAGACAAGCATCTTTAATGGGCATTATTACACGTGGGTCAATAAACAAACAATTCAGTGCACGAGTGCCAACTGTTTTACCTTTCAAAATGTCAGCTACCCAGCCTAAGGCTGTCGTCATTACATTAACTGATCGATTGCTTCAAGCTATGATCAGTGCTTTAATGTCCGTGTTTTGTTGTGCTCACTAAGTTATATTGATTCATTATTGTGCTTTTTGGAGAGATTTCTTGTGCACGCTGAAGGCCCGGGTTCGATTCCCAACATGGGTACAATGTGTGAATCCCATTCCTGGTGTCCCCCGCCGTGATATTGCTGGAATATTGCTAAAAGCGGCGTAAAACCCTACTCACTCACTCTTGTGATTGTAAAAAAGGGTATATCACAATAATATTATTATTGTATAGTTAGTTATTTTAAAACCATATAGGGCCTTTTGAACTTGTGCTGAATGAACAAGTTTACAAAGCATGTATACAGAAAACTCAAAAAAAAGAAATTACAACGCTCTACTTTGAGACAATTAGGACTTTGTTTTGTATTAAAAGGAAGACAGACCGATAGAGTGTTTACCTTTCTTACATTGACAAGCTTCCCGTTAAGCGTTATGGGCAACCTTTAAAGGTCGTAAGACTGCCTCCGTGGTGTAGTGGTTAGAGCGTCCGCCTGGAGAGCGGAAGGTCGCGGGTTCGATCCCCGACCGCGTCATACCAAAAGACGTTAAAACATGGTACCTGTTGGTCCCTGCCTGGCGCTCCGCATTAATGGGTACAACAAGGACTGGTCGGCTCGGAATCACTATAATGTGTCTGAGTGGTGTATTCATGCTTCACTGCGGCATGGTATCTCAGTGGGCTAGCACTATAAAACCAGCTTAAGTCTGGGCTAGTACAAGCAGCCGCACATACACGTACACACGCTTGCACGTCGTCATATGAGCGAAATATTCTCAAGTACGACGTTAAACCCAATTTCACCTCACACTTAAAGGTCGTAAAATAACATGTATTCAAGATCTTACCTACTTTAACTAAAGTAGACATCGCGAAGACAATAAATTATGCAGACCATCAACAGAAAGAAAGCATCACAAAATATTGCACCCAAATCATGTTACAACACGTAAATGTAGAGGAGAAATATCACTTTTTACAGATCAATATATTCATAAAACCACATTTTAACCTAGGGTAAAAAAATCTGAACGAAGTAGCCAGTGAATTGAAACATGGCACTCGTCTTCAAATAAATTTATTCCTCAAAAGGCGTGTTCCTATATCGTCCTGTTTCCACTCAAAATGGCGCTACACTGCAACGAAACATGCGGTTATCCAGATGTTCAGAAAGTAAGAGTATAGATTCAAATATTTTTCGTTTGGCTCGGCCCGAAGTGGATGCAGAAGGCAAATTCATTTATTTACTGGATGCAGTCGCTGATGAAAATGTTAAAACGTAGTGGCAATATTTCCAACCCTGTTGACGTCCACAATTCTCGTCAAACCATTCAATCTCACACAACATCCTACTCAACTATGTCATGAAACAGGGCACAGTAAATGTGTTCAGTGATACCAATATCTTCCAGTTTACTCCACAAAGGACCCATGTCTATGCAATCGTATGTCTTCTTGAAACCAAATTCTCCCTTGTTGCGATAAGAGGAGTAAATGTAGGAACATACTCTTTGTACACTTCTTTCAAAAGACGATCTGTTCATCCGCTGGAACACCACACATATCCACTTGCTTACTTAATCTGCTGTTCAATTTGTTACAGTATAAGTTGTATGAAGAGTTTGGCAGAGTTACTTCCCTGCACGACAGTGGATCACGTGAGTTACCTGTTGATGAATTAGGTATGGGATAGTTCATACATTTACTCCAGTGATAGGTTCCCAACACAAAACAGATTAAAAAGCCTATGTAGGAAAATAGACATGTGTCATTCTTTGAAACCTTAAGAACATCACATCATATAGCCTTTCCCTGTTTGGCCTGCACGTACGGCATGATGTATCTGGTCAGCTATACAACTGTAATACACACATTCAGCTCCTTCTAGTTGACCCACCGTGTTCACTGATGACGTCACAATAGCATACATCGCTGATATCAGTAACGTTTCAGTTCCTTAAATTGGAGAACGCGACCCTCCAATTATTCAAAACTGTTAACATATCTCACAAGAAACTGAACTACTTTCCAGCTTGACCTCTACAGGAATTTTCTTATGTCCCAGACCGCCCATACCAGCTGGCCCTATCTTCATGAAGTAATCACTACTCCCCCGATCACACACTTTCTTCAAGTCATAGAGAGAATGTCGTACATGCTGCCGGTTGGATTTTAACTATTTTGTCAAACATTTGGATCTGGTGTCAGCACATACACAAACGTATGTTCTCTTTCACGATATCTCTCACATTTACAACATTCTCTTTCAGCATAGCGCGTCTCACATCATGCAGTAGTCAACTCTTCATTCCACCAGTGTTTTCGTCACTCTTCTCTTTCCATTACCTTTCCGTGAGTTAACAGGGGCACGTCTAGTAGTATGCAGTTCTGTTTTAACAATCTTTATAGCCTTTCTTTTAAATGTATCAGGAAAAATATTCACATCCATCCTAGATAAACGTCTTCGTGCATGGACTGATCTGAATGATATATTAACGGAAGCTCAAGCTGGCTTCAGACCCGGCTATTCCACAGTGGACAATATATTTACTCTGCAAACTCTCTGTTCTAAATACCTCTCAAGACCAAAGGGACGATTTTTCTGTGCCTTTGTTGATTTTAGAAAGGCTTTCGATTATGTAGATCGTTCAAAACTTTTATATATGTTGTTAAAATCAGGTTGCCATGGAAAAATGTACAATCTTCTGCATAATATGTATTCATCTGTTAGATCCTGTGTAAAAATTGGAAATTGCAAAACTGATATGTTTTTCACTAGTTCAGGTGTACGGCAAGGATGCATTTTAAGTCCGTTAGACGGTCGTAATGTATGTTGATGGTTGATGGGTTCAAGTGTAAGCTGGGGGATTAAGTAGAATGGCTCTGTTATGTCAGTAAATTGTGAAAAATAATGTTTAGACATTAAAACTAGAAGAGAGATAATGTGTTATATGTCCTATAGTCAGGGAAATAATGTGTTATATGTCCTATAGTCAGGGAAATAATGTGTTATATGTCCTATAGTCAGGGAACATACGATTAATCTCACAAACTATGTAGCAAAGAAAAGGAGGAACAATGTTTAGGGCAAATATGTAGAGGTATTAATATCATAATGTTAAATAGCATTCATTGTTCAAATCTACCATAGGTATGCGGTACGTTTTCTTCTTATTATTTTAACATACCTAAAACAGAGTAAACAATTATCGCATACCTAGTGTATGGAAGGGTAGCGGAGATGTGATAGATTTACATAGATAGAAATGCTTGCAGATGTTGAAATGGTCTTGACAGTAAAACTGAACACAAGGAAGTAATGTTATGTAACCGGGACGTGAATGGGAATACTGAGGACCAGACACTGATTACGGGTTGTGAGATCTATTCTTTATTGACAGACACCCCTGTGCGCGACACTGGGGTGTAGAAGAGCCACGCCTCCAAGAGGAATATACTGCTGCTTTAGATCGGACGTGTTAGTTGTTTTATGCTCTGAACTGCGATCGGATTGAAGTGAAGTGCAATGGCTGACGTGCAAGTAATGTTTTGTGTTTTAAAAGAACCAATCAACACAAGGGGCCAAGCAAGTCAAAGGGCACAACACAAGCGATGACACAATCTCTTGACACCCCTTATACCCGTAATGGACTAGGCAAGATCTAAAAATAACCATAGACTAACGCTTAAAAATGATACTGCTTGCGTTAAAACTATAAACAATGACAACTTCAAATGAACCAAACCTTACATGACTTCATACCTGCCACAGTTACACAACGTAAACTGCAGACGTTATAACAAGCAAAGTACGATCTTAAAATATTGTTTATACATGTGTCTACACATTGACAAATACTTCCTTTAGATACGGATATAAAGAAACATGCTATATAACTTCAGTTAACAGTTTAAGAGAAATATTCTAAATACACATTCTGTAATATGCACAGAAAGCCCCACACTGCAAGTTATCTGAATATAATGCATCATGTCACATGGTATACAACGCATAACTAAATACGTCAAAAACACCAGGAAGATCCTTACTCCAACAAGTTGATTTAGTAAACAATTTGTGTCACATGTCGGCCGTATGATGTCGATATAAGCGGACAGTATAACGATAACACATTCTACGTATAACTGACGATGTCCGTGGAATTAACGACATCGTCCGAGACAACACGCGCCTGTCAAAAGCAATGGATAGTAGAGCCAGTGAGCGACCTGTCCCCGTGCCTATAAAACAAGAGGGCATCGCTTCCCCCTCACAAGCCCATTGGTTTGCCCTACTACACACACCGTTGGTCCAAGTGCGTCAAAGGTAGGCATTCTGTTTTCTAAGTCGATTATATACGTCAAAATGTAGCTCTTCACTTAAGTATCTTTGTCTCCCTAAAGATGCGGTAAGTGTTTGTTTATATTTATTTCCATTTGTTATATGTGTTTCGGGTGGTCTTTTTTCATTTTGATTTCCTTTTGAGACGTTTTAAATCAATCACCAAAAACACCATTACACCATCACTCGGACACCTATATGTTTGGAATCATCTCACAACTTACATAAATCAGTTGAAAAGTAATGTTGATAGATGTTTGTTAAAATATACAACGTTGTATTTTCAAGCTTAGGTTCCCCTTTGTAAAACTGTTTCTGATATCCATGGATAATACTGATACATACGCATATTTCTTCTGATTTGTGCAGTTAAGAACAAGATGGCAGCATTCAGGTGTGCTGTTTTGGCTTTGGCTTTCGTCTCGATAAACGGTAAGTGTCGAATTGTTCTCAGAATGCTGAATACCTTTAAAAATATGTAGGCTATTTCTTGATAAACTCGAATACTTTATGTACATGACAACACGTTGAAGGCTCCTTGTATGCATGATGTGAATGATTAGCGGAAATATCAAATGGTAAAGACACCTAAAATTGTCAAATCCATTCTTGATGTAGAATCGAAATGTGACTTCCCAACACGCACGTGTTCTCTTGAACACCTTAGGCGAACCCTTACCAACCACTTATGAAAATAACGTAATCACAATGAGCACTTCGTTTAAGATTCGTTGAGTACAGAAAAAATATAATAATGCTCCCACTTAATCACGTTTTGCTTGTTGCAAGAGGTGACAATATGGGACCGAGTGTTCATGGCTCAGGGTCTGTGGCATGGGTGATTCAGTAGACAAACCTACTGTGTTTTATAAACACGATGTTATTCCACTGCGTAGACATCTCTTATGTAAACTTGGAACCGTATTTCGCCGTTATATAGCTGTGCAGTACAATCCAGTACATAATTATTATCACGAGTGAGTGAGTTAATATGTTATCAGTGTTATGATAGAAACCTTGCACCTGGTGGGTAGCTTAAGCATTTCCATTAATAATCCGACCAAATATGTTTCTAGGTTATCTTATTTCCCCCAAACTACAGTTATATATAACGTATGTGATGCCCAACAGAGGCGCACTCCTACAAAAACTGAAGCGTCCTTTTAGACCTTGGATGTGATGGATAACGTCTGTGTTGTTATCATCCGCTCATTTGTCATTGCACACATTTACATATTACATGCACGAGACTGGGGATGAACCACGGAAGTACAACTAAAGTCTAAAGTTACATATCTTTTAGCCGCATAGAAGTATTAATTCCAAATCGTAAACCGAAATAGTTGTGAAAATGCTATTTGAATGCCATTATTGGCTAATACATGCATTTTGAATATGAGCGACATTGTTGATATTAGGAAGGAAATTTAGACATGTATTTTGCTCTTTCCGCATTACACGTGCTAGTGGAGCAGGGCTTGCTGACCTTTTCGCGAAAATGTGGTTTCTTCACTATTTTAACGTTTAACTTCGATTATTAAATTCTAAGAGATATAAGAACCGTTATCTTCTCATGTGACGAATCCAATTATCTTAACACAGAGCACATATCTGAAACTAATTATTACGACATTTTTACAAGGCCGATGTCAGCCCATGAGGTTTACTACTGTAACGTTCTGTGATTCTCCGACACAAGACATAAATGCTCTCCACTTTGTTCCAGCCCAAGGTCCGACAGGTCCGACAGCTGCTCCAACCGGTGGAGCGCCAACAGGAGCTCTTGGAGGATCCATGGGGGCTCCAACAGGTTCACCGACAGGTCCAGTGCGTGGCCCTATGGGCGGTCCCATGAGCGGTCCAATGGGTATGGGTGGTTCCATGAGCGGTCCAATAGGTATGGGTGGTCCCATGAGTGGTCCAATGGGTATGGGTGGGCCGATGAGGGGCATGGTTCCTCCATACGGAGGAATGAGCGGCAATTACGGAAACATGAATACTTACGGAGGATTTGGTGGTCCAAGAGGAGGCTTTGGCATGGGTCCCTTTGGCAAGAGAAGAAACCAGCGCCAGCAACAAGGATTTGGAAACCCAATGTCATTCCTTCCATTCATGGGCAGTGACGCGGGAAGAAACATGTATTTCATGTCTCAAATGATGGGAAGACAGGGCGGCAACAGCATGCTTCCATACCTCTTTTTGAACGGTGGACTAGGAGACAACATGATGAACATGCTCCTCTTCAGCGGTATGGGTGGAATGGGAGGCGGCCGAGGCGGTCAAGGAATGATGAATGGTATGAATCCACTTACGGCACTGGCTCTCGGCGGCGGTGAACTCAGCAATGCACTTCCCTACTTCTTCATGAACCAAGGACAAGGAGGCCAAGGGAGGGGTATGCAGGGCGGTATGCAAGGTGGCCAACGACAACAGGGAATGAACAGTGCTCTGCCGTTCTGGCTGCTTGGTGGAAACCTCTAAGTAGTCCACAGTTGTGTTCCTGGGGGGTTAAATCAATTGGGACAGAGACATTCCAGACTTTGACTATCAGTTAACCTATACGGTTAGAAGTTAACCTGGTCACACATTGGCTCATAGCTCAAGTTTTGGTACGAACATACGGTCTATATTTAAAAGCCTTCTAAAGAAATAAGAAGGTTCAATAATAAAATAGGTCACTCTGCCCATTCACTTTAACTGAGGAGATCCAGAAGAGACATTTATTGTTGCGAATGGAGTCAAAATATTTTGTATTTCATTCAAGTATTTTGTTCCGTGCATAATCAAGGTACTTGTTAGTATTACTGAAATGACGGCGGGCCCATAAAACTTACAGACAATTGTACAGGTTCCCTGGTATAACCCGCGGCTGTGTACCTCATGTTGGCTGTGTAATAAACAACTCGAATATGTTACATACGATTGCTTTATTGTTGCCTGATTTCTGCTCACAAAGGTTTTAAACACTTATGACATGCTGACAATGAAATGTGATTCATTTCTGCTGTAGAAGTGTGCGTTTCAGAATATACAACGTATTGATTCCAGTCACTCTTTACCGTAACTTATAGAAATGTCTCTCAGTGTCAGGTGTCAACATGAAACACCTTTAATAAAATTGGCTAAGTCAGCTTAACAGAACTTTATTATTCTGTTGAATTACTGGAGAACACAGATGGTCCTGCAGTCTGTGGGTGTCCAGAATTGCTTTGCTGGTCATCAGTCACCATCACCGATAGGTTGATTTGGGGTTCGAACCCATCTGTAATTGAGTTACTTAATCGTTCTGTGTGAAGTCAGATTAGAATGCCTGTCTTACGTGATAGCTTATATAATTACTATTTGCCATTTTCTCAATTGATGCTTAGGTTAAACGTTTTATGAACGGCTTAAGAGTTACTAAACCTCAAGGCACCAAAGCACTAGAAAAGCTCTCAGAGACATGTGGATACGTTAGTGTTGGGAGAGTGCTTTCATGACAAATATACACCATGTACGCATCATTTCAAGTCCACACACCCTCACTCTCACGTACAGGGCCCTTATTCTCGAAACGTTCTTAGCCCTAAGAATTCTTAACTTATCGTAGCCAATGGGTTAAGAATGGGCTTAAGAAGTTCTTACGGCTACGAACGTTTCGAGAATAGCTAGCCAGATCTCTTAGTTTATTCGCACGATGGCAAGCGAATGCATTGTTCTTTCCAAACGCCTAAAATAGAAAGACCAGGAAGACACTTCATACTAGAAGGTAAGCAAAAATGTTATACTTTGAGCTGTGGAGTATACTTTAGTCAGCAATATCAGGTGGAGTTTAATTCCTCTGACAGACAAATGTATAGGATGACGGACTTGTGTGATATTCCCATTAAACGTTGCATTCACGAAATCCTCTCTATGATTAAGGTGTAAATTTAAAGACAATAATTTACGAGTGGCGAGAATTCTAAATTGAAAGGAATATTGTTATCTGAAAATAAACTAAGAAAAATGAAAGCATTCCCGATAGCGCCAATATACAACCTACATCTCCCTTCCCGTGGGGGTAATACATAGTCTCCCGAGGGTTCAAGCCACATCTTGCACATTCGGTAATGAAGTTGTTCATACATTATTTAATAGACGTAGGAGATATTCAATTAGATGGTGCCAAAACTATTGATATATATCTTTAATGAGATGAATAGATTGGCAGCGTAACAGGGACATCTGACAGCTTTACAGTAGTCGTGGAAGGTCAGGTGACCAGAGATTTCAACAAGCCTTATACTCAGATGCTTGATGGGCATTTAGAAGTTGGGAGGTAACACAACAACGTATGGTATGGATTTACAACTTCGTTAATATTTACAACACGACGTTTCTGGGCTACGTCTTGCCCCTTCATCAGGTGAATGACAGAATATGAGTTCAAAGAGATGTTTATACAAAGGACGTACAGAATGTTTATACACTGTAAAGGATTGGACATACATGATAGGATTGATTGGAAGCCACTTATGAAAACAACAATAGGAAAACACTTATATGAAAATCACAGCATGTACAGTGATCAGGGGAACAAGGGAAAACATGTACATTGAAAGCATTATTCTATGCACCATGCATTCGGTAGAAAAACGCCCTGATCCCTGTTGATTTCAGGTTTGGTGCGGTGGATCCAGATGGCCTCCATCAATTTCCTTTTCCGCCAATTGCTGATGTTGACGGCCAAAATGTCAGTGTCATCCCAATTGATGGTATGGCTGGGATTTCTGATCACATGTTCTGATAACGCTGATTGCATGTCCGAGCTTTTCACCGATGCTTTGTGCTCTTTCATACGAATACATACAGGCCTGCCTGTTTCACCTATGTAGGTGCTGCCACATGTTCATTTCAATTTGTACACACATCCTCTTGGGTTAGGGGTAGTTACACAGCTTCCTTTACGACTGGCTTTTAATAAAGATTTGAGGATTTTGCCAGATGAGAAGGTAGTGTTAAAGCTGGCAGTTTTCTTTAGAAGTCTACTGATGTGACGACTGATGGATCCAACATAGGAATATTTATGCAAATAGGGGATGGTTCAGGCTTAGTAGGAGGTTGATCTTGATGTTCTAACGTCTTTTTGGTGGTGGTTTCTACTATGTGTCTCGGGTAGCCATTGAGGAAGATGAAGGTAGATTTGAGGTGGGTTAATTCTTGTTGTAGATTGGAGGGACTGCATATGTTCTTGGCCTCCATCCTGCTCAACCATCTGAACAAACAACACCAGCGTATCCAGTTCACCATGGAGACTGAGAAACTTCATCAACTCCCTTTCCTAGACATCATCAACTCCCTTTCCTAGACAAGTTGTAAATCCATACCACACGTTGTTGTGTAAGCCTTCTACTCTTTTTGGAGATTTTGTCAGGATCGAATCCCGTATAATGAATGAAATACAGAAGTCAAAGTATATGATTTGTGACACTGTTTGTGACATCACTCATGTAGGCCTGCATGACGATCACTTTGTCTTTACGTCGGGTAAGACTGCTTTTGGAAGAACTGCCAAGAATATTGACCTGGCACACTTTTAGCCATGTCCAAGAATGATGGACCCGTTCCCCAAACGATCACAGAGCTACGACTGTCATAAATCTATTGAAATTACGATCGTCTTTCGCTTTGAGCCACGAGACCTGGACGGTACTATTTTCGCATCATTGCATTCGTGTGACAAGCGGTGTACGGTCTCTATTCGCCTACATTTCAATTCGCCTTCAACCCATATCGCATACAAAAACAATGTTAGCTAATTGGGTTTAGAAAATGCACCCCCATACTCAAATAATGAGCGTGACTCACTGGTCAGGGCCATACTAATCTTGATCGACTGTTGTTATAAGGATATGTACTTGAGTAGAGATGATTAGAGCCTCCACTAAGAAGTTACCACTGGGTTATAATAAAATGAAAGGGATTAATGCATAAGCTAAACTGTAAAAGCAATGATGAGATATAGTTTATTTCTCTCTGTAAAATACTCAGTTCTCTGCCACTAATAGGCTTTAAACCAACTTAACCCTATAAAACTGGGTGTTCGCCAAGTACTGATAGTCACAATGGCTAATCTGCAGAGGGCAGAGTTCATTTAAGTCTCAGAGAGGAGGAAGACAGGTACTACATGGTGGCCACAAGTATCGAATGAATGTAGTGAGACAAGTAGCCACACACTGGAAGTGCGTCATAGATCAATGTAAGGGTAAATGCAGTACCATTGGCGACCACATATCTTCCGTCACAGAACACAACCAACCTCCTCTGGTGAATGAAGAAGAGAACAGACTCCTCACCAGACTGAGACAACGTGTTCGTGATGAGATACAGCCCATCCAACTGATCTACAATGAAGAGATCCAGAACCTATATAGATGATGAAGATGCTGCTGCCACTGTTGCTTCCTTTAACAGTGTTCGATCAGGGCTCAACCGTCAACGTGCAAAAGTTCTACTACCTGTCCCACGGGTGTTCAATCTAAACTACATGTTCAATCAATCGTTCTTAGATCAGATTATAAGATATCTTGTCACAAGTGAAGGATACAGAATAACCTCAATACAAACAAACAGACAATTTTTAAGGTTTTTATTGTTTATATTTAGGTTCCTGGACTGAGACTTGAGACGGCCGGCAGTCAGTGCCTGATGGTAGACGAAGGAGATGAGAACAGGATGCTAATCTTCATAACCACAGAGATGGTGAATATACTTGCTTTTGTATTTTGTCCTTCACCTACTTCAGCTAGAAGAGTCCAATTTTATATCATAGGGGTTACACTGGTTTATCAAAACGTAATCAACAGTCAACAGACCATCAACTGTTGTTTTAAGACTGTAGGCGTATTGGGATGTAGGCGAATAGAGAACAACCCCAATGATGACACCACAAATCAAAACATGCATTCTTTGTGCTCTTCAGATAAGACACAACTTCAGATTCTGCCAGGCTGGAGGTGCTCTTTCAGCCTGAGAAGTCTGGCATCTAGTTCCCTGTACACACGCCTTCGTACCTTGGGCTGGGCACACAAAATCCATCTGGGCACGTTTTGCCTTGTCTGTTGATTCAATGTTCTTGGTGTTTGTGACAAACAGGAAGATGTTCGGATAGGCTTTGACGATCAGGTTCTTCAACTTATGATGCCACCCATCAAGATGGCTGTACGTCCTGAACCCAACATTGCCGATACAAAGACCAACCACAGCTGTGTAACTTTAACTTGCCTTTCAGTAACACTAATATCATCATGTCGTTAAAGGTAAGTGAAACTGCATTAATTACCCTTTCTCCAAACCCAACAACAAACCCTTCAGTAACTGGTAAATGGGTTGTTCAGTTAGTTTATGGGGAAAATCATTTCCCTTACTGCCTACATTAATTTTGTAGGCAAACTGGGATGTAGGCAAATTGGGATTGTAGGCAGAATGGTATGTAACCCTTTCAAAACACACACACACACACACACACACACACACACACACACACACACACACACACACCACACCCCCCATGCTTGACCGCACACATATGGAACAGCCATGTTCAGGTCGTAGGCTATAGTTTGGCATAGGCTCTAGGTACTATCAATTCGTCCACTTACAGGATGTGACAGGCATTGGGTTCTCATGATCTTGTCATTGCCAGTATCAGCGTCATGTCTGCAAATTGAGCATGTGTCCATTGTTGTCCTAGATCAGTGTTGCAATGTGTCATCACTCATCAAGACGTCTGAGGTATACAATGCTTACTTCCCACATCCAAACTAATTTAAGTTTTATCGCGGCCTGCCAGCCTAACTTTGAAGGAAATTTCGAAGTG